CTACAGGCACTCTACACCGATTCATATCGAAAGTGTACCAACGCCTTCCCCAAGCAGCAGGGAGTGCGTGAATGATGCGTAGGGCCTCTTGCCACTGGCTCCCTTGCTCACAGGCGCTCACTGCAGCGCCGAAGAGGATGGTGTCCATCTGCGCTTGCCCTTGGACCTGTGTGCTGAATGCCCTGACAAATTACCAGGCCTATCCAAGCAGAATTCTAGCTCTTCTGGACTTGGATTTTCCGACTCAGCAAAACTTGAAGGTCTGCTCAACTGTTCAAGGCAGCAAGGTCGTGAAACAGTCGCAGCGCTTGCTCCCACTCCCCGTGCTGGCCGAAGCCCATCATAAGATTGGTGCACCTTATCTGCAACTGCTCCATGCTTGAATACAAGCCCAAGTTGGGGCTAACAACCAGGGCAGGCTGCCCCTGGTTGATGTCATACACTTCGAAACGTGGCTTTCAACTTAACCTTGCCGAATAATGCACATTGTGGTTGAAGTCACCCACTGCGCCAAGTTGCACTACAACATTTGGGAGCACTCTCCGTCTGCAGAGGCTGCAGAAACAGTGCAGCGCATTTTTCCACCTGCCTACCTTCTCACAGGAGCTGATAACGGAGCTGCAGGTGAATACATCTGGGGGAACATTCAGGCACTGCATCGCGTCCAAGCTCTGGATGGATTGAGTCCAAAGATGCTGGCGACCATGACTTATAATCATCCTGAACCGAACTCTTGGAGGCTCTCAAACAATCAAACGCCCGACAGTCTGTTAGGTGAAAGACAAAGATTGAACCCGAATTTTCTCAAATCTACCCCGGTTTCCGGTTGAAGGAGCTCTGAAGATGGTCCACCATATTTCGACCTCGGCTGTCTTCTTGCCCTCGCTGCGCATGCATCCGACTCCACAATCCCACCTGAGGATTTCTCAAAGTTGTGGATCCCAAGTAATTCCTTTACGTTCAGGCTCTGCTCTTGCAGGGTCTACTATACCGCTGTTGATGTATGAAGATATCGGTCATGACCCTACATCTGCTGACATAATTAAGAGTTTGGGGGTCATAGACAAATGCAAGAAGTCAGCCCACTTTCAAACATTAGAGACCTGGAAAGGCCATCCACGTTGGCCGCATTTCCAGGCCAAAGTCGTGATCAGTCAGCCAGTGCTTGTCACGAACATGGCGGCATGGATTCATTGTTGCCGGTGCTACTCGCGTCTCTGCAGTTGTTGGTACCATTTCTTTTGGAGTTTCTCAAAACTATGAGTCCTTTTTTGGTGTCCTCGTGGGTCTAAGTCGTATTGGAGTTGAAAACCCAGTCCCTAGTTTTGACATTCACCCGCTCTTGCTTGGGATGCAATAAGCTCGGGAGTCAAAGGCGCGCAGTCTCAGCATTCAAAACGTATGCAGGCTCTAGCATATACGCACTATCCATCACTGACAGCTGGGCCAACTGTAGCGTTTAGATTTTGAAATTGTGTTACAAACTGAAGCTTGTTGAGCGCTGGCCAGACTTCACGACCTGAACTTCTTTGCCCTTGCTGCTCCTCAGTGCTTCTCCTGAAAACTATCGGGTGCGCTCCTCGCACTCACTTTGGCAACCCCCCCGCGACAGGTGCGCGAGCGATTACCCAGTGGCGACTTTGTCGCTGACAACAAGATCAAGGTAAGTTATATATGCTGCTGCTGTATGATACCAACTACAATTACAAGCAAATAGATTAAAACAAATTAAACCGATCACCAGCATTTTGCCAGGCGCTTCTCGCCGGTGTCGGGTGGCGCTGTCGTTGAACGCTGGATGCTGGCAAGGGTCTTTTCTGCATTGACCTGTCGGATGAGGAGAGCTTTCCGGAAAGCATGCTAGCTTCCCTTATGTTCCACGATGGCTGATCGCATTGCGAGTATATAATCCCTGGCCTGCATGTTCCACCAGTTATCCCCTAAAAGCCCTGACAGCTGACATACATCTCGAATGCGGACAGGCTGCACTCTCAGCTCGAAACAGCTTCAGGTTCGCCTGTTAGCAGGCCGACTACTAAAAATAGTACTTGTGATACGAATCATGACAGTACTAGTAACAAATACGCACTAGTGAAAAAAAAGGTCGGCTGATCTACCGTGCTTGCATCAGGATTTTCAGATTTGAGCGTCTATATATGGGACGCCCCCCCCCCCCCTGGAAACGCCAATGCGAGTTCTTTCGGTGGCCTCTCCAGACATCAGGTGGCAATTCTTTAGCGACGATATAGAGCCCGATTCAAACGGCAATACTAATCACAACCCTTGATCCGAAGGGCATTGACATACCACAAGGCTGCTTCAGCTGAATGCTCGAAAGCCCCCTTGTGCTAGAGGAATCCGTGCTCAGTGGGCCCAGGGAAGGGCTGTAAACGTGCAATCCGAGAACAGATCCCTCTGCTGCGTGATCCACACCTGCAATCCTACAAGCCTAGGTGCCTTCACAAATCGGGATCGTCCATGAAACGCTATGAAGGATCCTGTCACGCTTGTTTATTTGAGAAGCCCACATTGTTCAACACTTGGTGTTCTGATTTGACCTCCACCTTCATTATCGCTACAATATGCCTACATAACCGCGCTGCACTCATACACAAGAACTCATGTGGGTCGTGGGATTTACGACGCGAGCGGACGACCAGGCATCTACTTTCAAGCGCGACCTCGCCGGAATTCCTGTTCCCAGAAGGAAGGAAGCCAGCGCAAGGGCTTGTGTTAGAGTAGGAACCCCAAAATAGATACCATACTCACTGACTAAGGAAGTCACCACTCCAAGCTCTGAACCCTCGACTCAAAACTTTAATCTTTGAAGCTGAAACCCAGAACCTTACACCCCAACAACCTCAGCCGTAGAGCCTACAAACATCAACGGAACGCAATGAAAGTATAATAGTAATTTCTATCATATTTTCCATTGTCTCAACACCAAAATAACCCCTAAACCCCAATATAACCCCCAAACCCCGATATAACCCCTAAACCCCTATATAACCCCGAAATAACCCCTATATAACCCTATATGCAGGTAACGCCTTGGGCTCCAAGAGCCGCTGCAAAGCTTCGCAGAGCTCCTGCACATGAACCCCTCCCCAGGTAGTGTGTAGACATATTTATATATATGTATATACATATGTGTGTATATACGAATTTATGTAGAGATATACATATGTGTTTGCTTCCCAGTATGGTGCAATTTTACTTCACGCGTTGGCGGAATTTGAGTTTAGGGGCTCCTGATTTGGGGAAGATGGTTAATTAAGCCCCCTTTCAAGAAGGGGCTGATGCTTCACTGGGTGCCCTCTAAAAAGCTCGGGAATAAGCAAGCGGGCGACGTTGAAAAACGTCTGAAGTCTGGAATGAGGCTCTCACCTACTTCCCTTCTCAAAGCATTGGGTTCCTGATTGATGGACCCAGAAAAGAGAGCTAAACCTGACGCAAAATATTGACTGTCTCTCTTCAACATGAAGCCCATGATTGAGCGAAGCGGGCAGAGACCTGCGCTGTCTCGTGCTCTGCACAGAGCTGTTCTAACCGCGCTGGAGTAATTTCCAAAGCCTGACAAGAAGTATGGGGCAGCTCGAGAAGTTTTGAAAAAAGGCTTCCAAAAGGGATCTAGAACTGGATGACTTGCAGAAACGGGATCCTCAAAACAATCGCGTTGTTTTGTGTATTCTGTTTGGGGCGCGGTGGAACAGCAGAGCCATGCCTTGGAGTCCATTCCTCCGTCCAAGAGTACGCAAAGACCTTTGCCACACGGGGGCTTCTGGCGTTGGCACAAGGACAGCCGAAACCCCAAACGGATCCTCTCGAGGCAACGGGATATGTCTCAGGCTGGCACATGTGCTTCATGCCTTTGGGATCTGTAGTGTCCTATGCAACCTAAACTCAAGTGACCCTCAACTTCACACCTCAGCCTCTCATGAATCCAGGTGGCGCTCTTGGATTTCCTGGCTGACTTCCTGCGAAGCTAGTCAGGTAGTGGAAATGGCAGAAGAGGAAATACCTACTGCTGGTGGAGGCCAAAACACCACACCTTCTGGCCGCATTGTACCAACACCAAGACTGGAAATGGAGGAAATGCTGGGGCCTTGCGTTTCTTTTGGCATGCTGCACGGCTTTGAGTGCGCTGCTGGTAGTGACTTGAAAAACTGAATCAGAAAGAAGCCAGTAGGTGGGACAAAAAGCAGCCTGCAAGTGGATCAGGGTTGTAAAATATTGTAAGTGTAGCAGGGTATGGTCTGCCTCCGCATCCACTGTGCTTGACTCATAATGACGCACCCAAAGCCTCTCCATCAGAAATCCCTTCTCGGCATTTGGGTCCCGTTACATGCTTCCCAACATGGAGATGATCTCCACGATGAGGAGCCCATCAAAGAACCACTGTGAAACCCTCCAGAGTATGGCATGGCGCCCTTGCTCCTACTTTGCTATGAGCTGCCCCGAACCAACCCAGTTTGGCATCGAAAGCCCTTTTTGGAAACCATAGCTCCAAACTCCAGAAGCCTTCACGGCTTTGCGCAATGCCCAACATGCCAGTCAAGCCCTGCTAGGACACGCGTTTTTGACCCACGCGGTCCTGCTGGAAGTAGTGGGCCACCATCTTGCATGCCTGTCACCCATCATCCAGCAAGCTTACAGTCTTGACAACACTAAACCCTTCGAAGTGGGGGTATTTCTCAGGATATGCCACCTACCCTAAACCCTTGACCCTTAAGCCCTTGTATGGGACTCTAAGTGGGGCCCTGGGCGATGAAGAGGGGGGTCTCGAAGTCTACGTCCTTCCGAGCTTTGGAAACGATAAGGCCAGCTGCAATCAGTAACCGGACGAAGCAAATCGGCAAGATTCTCAATGCAGGAGAGGTTAAGAAATACACGCAATTGCAAGACCAACGCTTTACAGTAATTAGTGGCCACGCCAAGCTGTGACTTTCCCGCTGTGCATGCATCTGTCCTCCTCCAACGCAACCTATGCACCTAGGTAGCTAAATCGGCAGCTGCACCTGGAAGCCCACCATGTAGGTCAAGTGGAAAGTCTTGTCGATGCGGCCAGGACGGATCAAAGCAGGATCCAGCTTCTCAGGGTGGTTGGAAGTCATGACCTGTAGAGAGCTTTTTGACTCAAGGGCTTTTGGGTTCAGGGCTGGTTAGGGCGTGTGGAGGTTGAGCTTGTGTTGAACTCTCCCTTCTCCACGCAATCCCAAGCATTTTGTGCCGGTGTCTTGCGAAACAGGCAGCTTTGGGCCATTTGATTTTGGTGATGCCAAAAGGGGAAATTCTGAGAAGGACCCAGCGATGTTGCGCACGTACTGCTGTGTCCAAGGGCGGGACCAGCAAGCGCCCGGGCCTTGGCTAAGGGGCAGCGGTCTATCATTGACTTCTTCAACACCGCACGATCCGTTAGGCGAAGATCCCCTTTTGCTGTTGCGACAAGCGTGGCATTTTGGGCACCTTCAGTAGGGGCACGCCGATTGTTTAAGGGATTCTCTGTGAGCTGCCGAGCTGCGTGTCGACCACGCCATCCTTGGACATCACCAAAAGATCCACAACTTTGAGATGCGACCCATGAAGCTTGCAATCCAACAGTCTAAGTGAAATTTCGGTCTTACCCTCCTGATTTGCGCGCCTCTCCTTTAAACAAAGAAAAAACATGCTAAACTTCAAGAACTGCTGCCGAGCTCCAACCCCTGAATTTCCTAGAAACCCCATACATAATCTCAGCAAACCCTCAACCCAGAACCCCTCCCCCCCTCCCCCCAAAACCTTGAAGCCGAGCATCCAGGGTGTTCAGGATCCCTGCCAAGTTCAGCTGGTCATTGCCTATAATTTCGCCAGAGGGCCCAGCCACCCCATAGAGAGTTTCACCTCCTTCAAGGCCATGGAAGCAAAAGGCACCAGCGTACTACATGTAGGGCTGAATGGTTTGGTCTTTGCTATATTTGCTTACTTACCTGGCTAGCACCATCTGAGGATGGTTATGACAGTATGGACTTCAAGGCCCAAGCTGCTCCGAATCAGATCTTTGAGATGGCTCCTTACCAGGATCTTTGTGGGGTACACTTTGACTGTTGTCCTGAGTCTTATGGTCACCACCGCCATTGTTCTTCGGTTCGGCTTCATGCTTTTGTTGCATGGTCCCTCTTGTCCCCCCTTTCTGTTGGACCTGGTCTTTCGGAGCGCCTCTCTTGTCTTTGATGACGTCCAACATCTGCTGCAGGATCTTGCCATCCACTTCTCTCGTGGCATCTTTAGCATCTTTCGATTCGGAGGTCCTAGGATGAGACACTCCAACAGCAGCACGTAGGAATCCTTCTGACCTGCAGCATCAACCTTTACCAAGGTGCTCCGTGGTCTCTTTTTGTGTGACCTCCTGCAGAGGGATTTTAGAAAGATTGAGGGGTCATGAAAATGCAATATGCAGAACAGCGCTGTCAGGGCATTCTCTGAAACCTGTCATGGCTACGAGGCCGCCTGCTGTCCTTCTTCAAATATGGAAGTAACTACGACTTGTATACGCGCATTCCACGGGGTGGGCGCGCACATGTAAGACCTCAAGTGCTGTATGGCATCGCTGGCAGCAGTTCCCGAAAGCCTTGACCACGGCCTTCGAGCCCGGCTTCCTTGGAAGCTCAGACGGAGATCTAAAAAACATAGTATTCTGTGGGAGCTGTGCCCCAATAATTACCAAGTTAGTACGAACAAGCGATCAGAAGAAGGGTAAGAAATCCCGATGCTGACAGCAAGTCCCTACAGCTCACACTGCGAATAACCACAGAAAATGCTGGGTTGGTGATCGTGCCGAGGATCTCTGCATCTTCCAGCTTGCCTGCCAGCCTGCCAGCTGGGAACAGGGCTTGGAACGGCTTAGAGTTGCGGGCACAGCACTGCCACTTGCATGGCAAGTTTGGGGGTTAAGGCTCTGGGTATACAGTGTTTGGGGTTGGGGTATTCGAGTTAAGGCCAATTGAATTCTGGCCTGAAGAATGCCCGGCCAGAAATTGTTTGCTACCTACCACTCCTCAGCTTGAGCGCCCACATTCTTGGCGTACTTTGGGGAGAATGAGCGCAAGCTCAGCACAGCCCATCTGCCGTCATTGCCGTCAGACTTGCATGGCCAAAGCATTGCAAGGCAAGATTCTGGGCAGCAGCTAATCAGATTGAGTCCTGCTTTTCGTTCTTCGGGGCCTCTGGAAACCTGTTAAGTTCTCTCTTGCACAGTGCTTGCAGCGCCTGAGTCGGCGCTAGAGGGGATCTCATGATGAGCTGCAGGCCGTGACCCCAAGTAATTCCCTGCCCTCCTTATTTGGTACTCTCCAACATGAGGAGGAAGTAGACTGAAGTTCAAGAGCTATCTGCAAGTATCCCACATCAGTCGACATCTGCCCATCTGGGGTAGGCCCTGAGACCTGAGAAGCAGGTTGGAATTCCAACGATCCCCCAAATGGTTGCAAGTTGGGAGCTTTCTGAGTGCTCCAGGCATCTCAGCCAACAATACAGTCGCAATGCCAAAGGCAAGGGCGGCAGCAGCAGCAACTTCGATTGCTACTAGACTGTACCAGACTATGAGCAGCTCTAAAACAACCGCCAGCTCTCTTTGAATGGATGAACCGTAATCACGCACCCGGCCTCTCGAGCTTCTCTAACCGCTCGATGCGGTCAAAGTTCTGCATGCTAAGAATCTCCTGAAATCACAGCTGACGAACGACGAGAGCTCTTTCTCGGGGCACAACAAACAAGCATGCAAATCATTGTTGCTTCAATTTGTTCTTGCATTGCGTAACTGAGGGGCTGTTTGCTTTCATGCCCACCTTATCCAGCTCTGCCAAGAACATGACTAGACTGGCCGTAGCTTGAACGCTTGCCGACGCTTAGGGACAGACAACTCAACATCTTCCCTTCAACAAGGCCTTGTCACCAGAAGACAGGGTTTTATCGTAGAATTCGCAACCTGGGGGTCTCTCGAGAAATCAGGTCCCTTACAAAGAAAAATATGTTCCGTGTTAGCAACCCGTGCTTGTGAGAAATTAGGTGTAGTGATACCTCTTACAGCCATGGTAGCAATCGAAATAACTTAGCGGCAAAGGATGGCGGAGTCCTCCCTCATAGCCGCCTCAGACTTGTCACGACCTGAAAGACAGTACAGCTCAGCTGAGCTCAGGGGTTGTATGATGGGTCCTTTGGCGATCTACATAGGGCTTGGGGTTTAGGGGATTAAGGTTTGAGAGCGGCCTGCCATGGGGCCTGGGTTTTTGCATACCCACTATTTTA